CGGGCCTCCTCAGGGTGCCGTCGGCCAAACAGTGTCGGCTGGCGACCCCCAGGGGGAGGGCCTTCTCTGTGGGAGCCCCCACCCTGTGGAACGAACTCCCCCCAGAGATCCGGATTATTCCGGATCTCCCCTCCTTCCGCCGTGCCCTCAAGACATGGCTTTTCCATCAAGCGGGATTGGCCTAGGGGGGGATTTTATAATTTTAAATCTAATACAGGTCATTTAATATATATTTTAATTTGGCTTTTAGATATTTATTGTATAGTACTGTTTTTATTTACCTGTAAGCCGCCCTGAGTCCCTCGGGAGAAGGGCGGGGTATAAATTAAAGTAATAAATAATAAATAAAATGTACTTATTTCCTTTATATGTAACCAATTATATTGATACCTGCACACTTCCTCATGTATGTTGCAAAATAAAAAGAGGAACACGGGATACGCCCGGGTTCACTTGTCCAGAGGATAGCCGTGTGTTGTCTTCTCTTGTCGGTCAAGATTCATGAGTGACCCCACCCTAATGTGGCAAGCCTGAAAACGCCACAGAGGCGGGGCCCTGTCTGGCCCTAGATTAGAGTGCACAACAACCTGCCCAGGTAGGCTGGCGAAGGCACTGCAGAGGCTGATTGGTAAGAAAGTTTGGAGTTTATAGTTCAGCAACATCTTGTTTCCGTTCACACAACACAATTCCCTCCATGGGAGCTAACACCCACATTCACACGTGCTAAGGGTGTCAGTGTTGACAAGGGCTGGATTTCCGGGGCTTTGCCTGTCCTAGTCTAGCCTCCCTTACTTCATATATCTGAGGATGGCCTTACATGGTGCTGAGGTTTGGAAAACCCATTTAGATTATATGAATGAGATGGAGGAGCACTTTCACACCCACAACTAAGGCCAAATTGACCCTAGATTCAGCCATGTCACACTTGCTGCAATTAGGCACTGGGTGGGATGATCGTGTAAAGGCAATTTATTAGTCTATTATAGCAAAGAGATTTCCATCAATGAAAAGAGGGAATCCAGGACACAGAATCTGGTTTCATTTTATACGCCTTATAGTAGAAAAAGAAAACAAGTCTTGATTGGATGGAAGAAATCATCCTCCTCAGTTACACCAGAGACATGGACAGTAACATCCCATAATATTAAGCATAACCATTGAAATGTGCACTGCATTAAAAGGAGAACGCTGATATGGGAAAAAGTGTCACGAGTCAAATGAGGCTGTTACTAAAAGGTACAATTTCAGCAACAGAGTTTCAATTCGGCATTTAACACGATCATTCCCCAGCATCTAGTAGACAAACTGGGCCTTTTAGGCTTAAACGCTCTTTGTGTAACTGGATTCTTGATTTTCTTACCAACAGGCTGCAATATGTGTAAGTTGAAACAAATACCTCTAATACCATTTTCTTGAGCACAGGTTCTCCTCAGGGCTGCGTCCGAACTCTGCTGCTGTTCACCCTGTTGATCCATGACTGTTGTGCTAGGTTTGCCACCACCCATATTGTGAAGTTCGCAGATGATACAACAGTAGCGGTCCTTATTCATGATGACAATGAGGGTGCTTACTGCAAAGAGGTTGAGGGGTTGGTGAACTGGTGTAAGGAAATCAGCCTAGTTTTAAATACCGGAAAAACCATAGAAATTATTGTCGATTTCAGAAAAGGCAGGCACAGCCACACTTCTCTGTGCATTAATGATTCACCTGTGGAGATGGTTACCAGCATCAAATTCCTGGGTGTGCAGCTAATGAGTAAAATTACATACCCCTTGAAAAAGTGTGTAAAATTATTCAAATTCCACTATTTGGCATCACAGAAGAGCACACTCATTAAACCGAGTATAGCAATAAAGTGAATAATGAAATGGTTTACTTACTCCTGAATGTTTGGGCTGAGAATATAGTATTCATTCATGTTGACAAAGATTGAGATGGCAATGAAGGGTAAGAGTTCGCACCTGTCTTACTGAGCTGTACTTAGGTCTGTGATAAATATTCAAGTAGCTTCTTAGTGCAGTATTGCAGGCAGACTGTGCACAGTCTGGAGTTTGATTCTGACAGCGCTCAAGCCTTGACTCAGCCATCAATCCTTCTGAGGATGGTAAAAGGAGGACCCAGATTGTTGGCGGCAATATGCAAATAATGTTTACCTTGGAAATCTCCCAGAATTCGCTGTAAAGCACTATGGGGTGGCATATAAGCCTAAATGCTATTGTTATTTCAGTGGCACCGTTGTGACTGAAGGTTTTTCCACACTCAGGCATATTTAGCATTTTTTCCCCATGTGAATTCTTTGATGTCGATAGAGGTGTCCACAAACAATAAAGCTCTTTCCACACTCAAGGTATTTGTATTGTTTTTCTCCCGAGTGGACTGATACTGATAAAGACTTCCCTTCCCACAGAAACTCTTTCCACGTTCCACGCATTTATATGGTTTCTCTCCTGAATGGAGACTTTGATGTCTGTAAAGGTTTCCCCTCCGACTACAGCTTCCACACTCAGACATTTATATGCCTTTTCTCCTCTATGAATGCTTTGATGTTTACGGAGACCTTGACTTTCAGTAAAGCTCTTTCCACACTGGAGGCATTTACAAGTAGTTCCCCAGGTACAAGAGTTCATTTAGGGTTTCTCTGCTTGTGTGGATTCTTTGATGTGCATAAAGGTTTCCCCTCAGACTGAAGCTCTTTCCACACTCCAGACATTTATGCGGTTTTTCTCCTGAGTGGATTCTTTGATGTGCATAAAGGTTTCCCCTCCGATTGAAGCTCTTTCCACACTCCAGGCATTTAAATGGTTTCTCTCCTGAGTGTATTCTTTGATGTCTATAAAGGCTTCCCCTCTGACTGAAGCTCTTTCCACACTCCAGACATTTATGCAGTTTCTCTCCTGAGTGGATTCTTTGGTGTGTATAAAGGTTTCCACTTACATTGAAGCTCTTTCCACACTCCAGGCATTTAAATGGTTTCTCTCCTGAGTGTATTCTTTGATGTCTATAAAGGTGTCCCCTCTGACTGAAGCACTTTCCACACTCCAGGCATTTATGCGGTTTTTCTCCTGAGTGGATTCTTTGGTGTGTATAAAGGCTTCCCCTCATATTGAAGCTCTTTCCACACTCCAGGCATTTATTCTGTTTCTCTCTTGAGTGGATCCTTTGATGTCTATAAAGGTGTCCCGTCTGACTGAAGCTCTTTCCACACTCCAGGCATTTAAATGGTTTCTCTCCAGAGTGGATCCTTTGATGTCTATAAAGGCTGCTCCTGTGACTGAAACTCCTTCCACACTCCAGGCATTTATGCAGTTTCTCTCCTGAGTGGATCCTTTGATGGGTATAAAGGTATCTCCTCTGACTGAAGCTCTTT